GCTGCAGTGAGATACATTGAAACACACAGCAGACTCACTGAGAGCTTACTGACTGGTTCTTAATGTTTGTTGTCTGTGCAGCTTCACGGAACGATGAGAGTGGTGATGGAGCCTCTGCTGGGGGACATGCCTCTGATCGGAGCCCTGTCCGTCTTTTTCCTCAAGAAACCGGTGAGTACTTTGACCTTTGAACCTCCGACTCTTTTTAACAGGTAAAGAATTTAGTCTAATAACTTGCAGTGACATATACTGCATAGACCCAGCCGATTACACTTCTACCAAACAACATCCACTTCCTGAACGCTGCCCGGCCCCAGTCCTCCTTTATCAGTGCATTCCTTCTCTCTGACTGCTCTCTTCCTTCCTGTGCCTCAGCACATTTCATCTTCCAGATTCAGGCTTTGATACTGGTGGTACCCACAGAAAAAAAGAACCACCATCAAAAGCCTCAAACAGAATTTTTAAAGGTGAATTTTTAAAGTTCTCCTCCATAAAAATGCATTTTCAGTCTGAAGTTAGAAGAAGGAGACATCAATTTTAACATTAGTGGAGTTTTATCAGTAGAAGTCTGCAGCAAAGAATGATTCTATCTTTTTCTTCTATCATCAACTGTGAAGCAATGTGAGATTAAAAGAAGAGAGGGGAAATAACTTCTGGATTTGGTCTGGATGTATTTTTGTGCTGCACCAGGCGTCCAGAAAGGTTGTGTTCATTTGTATCTTCTGCATCTGGGTGGAGTCCGCTGTTTAAGTGTTGTTGTTGGGTGAGTTGATGCAAATTCGCATCTCACGCCACAAAGGAACTGACACTGCTTCTGTCACATCAGATATAGGCCGGGTTGTTTGGTGGCGTACTGTCACTGTACTGGGGGTTTCTCTCATCCAGTTTTCTATTAAAGGGGAGTTTTTTCTTGCTCCTTATAGTTACCTAATGATCCAGCACTATAACCACCTGTCAGCTATACTCTAATGACTGAAAACTAAATATTAATAACTAACAACACCACAGCTTGGTTCACTATAAAATCATGCGCTGACTATTGTACTAACCAAACAATATCGGAAGATAAATAACAGCCAAAACAACATGTTTTACCACTTAGTATCTCTACAGGAAGTCGAGTATCGGCATCAGCCAGCTTATCTCTGAGTTTTGGCTAATGCTGAAATGTGTCCTGGACGCCTGGATCAGCTGATGGTTGATTAGTGTTGTCTTGCTTTTGTTTTTGTTTGATGTCGTACCACAACGGTTCAGTAGAGGGTTTAATAGTTTTTGTTAAACAGTTTTAACCTAATTTACAGCCATGATAGCTGTGTAGCTCGAGGGATGGCAACGTCTGTCTATCTGTCGGTCCTTCACATTTGTCAGACTGAAATATGTGAACAACTATTTTTATCACATATATATTTTGGGAGGTTTTTTATTGCCTTTAAAATAGGCAGTAATTGGAGGAGAGAGAGAGAGAGAGAGAGGGTAGGACAGGCAGCAAAGGGCCACAGATCAGAGTCGAACCCACGGCTGCTGCAGGAAGGACTCAGCCTTGGTACATGGGGCACTAAGTGAGCTACCAGGGCGCCCCATCAACAACTATTGGATAGATTGCAGTGAATTCAGACATTAACGGTGTCGACTGGATGAATTTGGTGATGATTTGGTGATCATGAAATCTGGTTGTCATCTAAAATTCAAGTTTTCCAATACTTTCGTTTACATTAGTTCATAACCAAATGCCTGCAGGATCAATGACAACCTCTTATTCTTGTTTCCGTGTGTTAAAACCTAAAACCAAAGTCGTATTGTATACAGTGAATATTTTACAATTCAAAACGTTGAATTTTTAGCTAAAAAAGCATCCAAACACATCATAAAGAAAGGAAAAACTCATTACAGTTGAATTAGTCAAGTTATATTAGCACAACATTAATATAATAAGATATTTCTGTCGTCATAAAAACACAGGAGGTCTCTTTCACTGCATTGTCTGTTTCACAAATGACTGGATGAGCCCTGCTGCTATTAGTCCAATGGGAACTGCAGTTACCTTGACCTTTAAATATTCCCTGTGGTTTTATGTACTGCCTGGCATTAGTTGTGTCATCAAATCCTAACCATATGGGAGTCTGTGCTGTTTAAAGTAACACTAAAGCAGCTTTTACATGTTGCAACTTGAACGCAGCTTCAGCTTCCTGCAGCTTTGTTGAACCGTTTGACTATTTTGGATGTCTTTAACACGTTCGGTGACATTCTGTGCCAACAGTTAGTTTATTAAGTTGTCGAGATAACTTTGTTCTTCCTGCGGGGCATTGTTGTGGTGCGTTGTTTCAGCAATGTCATTAGATTCACATACCAGTCATTGTCTGGTTTTATCTGGAATGTATTATTTGTACATCTTGCCGGCAATGAGGTTCAAACAAAGAGGAGTTCTTTAAAGAGTGCCCTCTATGTAGAAATCAGGTTCTGTTTAAGGATGAATGAACAAACAGCTGCTTTGGTTTCATAAAAACAATGTGTGGTAATATTAAAGTTCTAATAGTTTGATTATCAATGCGTTTTGTCCTTTACTAGTAAATGAGTTTAACAGTTCATTCTAATTCTTGGAAATAGTAGTTTAACAAAATAATCTTGACTCCAGTTCTACTGACTGTGCTTTTAACTTCAGCAGATGGCATTTGCTACGTTTAGATGTGTGTCATTTGGGTTTTTTTTGTCATTTGTCTTCACCATGACAACATGAGCCAACTCTTCTATTTAGATGTGGTTGAATGCTCCAGAAAAAGCAGGTAAACAGACCTTGACACAAGATTATTATTTAAAACATAGCATGAGGTGTAGTTCCCTTTCCTGTGTCGTGCTTGGAGCTTAAATGTCTCTATAAAGGAAGTTTGAATTGACACAGGAAACAAATCCAACTGTATTAAAAATCTCTGTCAACCACACCTGGTTTATTTTTCGCTGTAGATGACATATTGCTCTGCCCTCACTTCAGCTACGCAGCGAGCTAAACACACTTCCAATAATGCTTCCATTAAAACCTTTGAGGTTTTTAATGTGAAATTGAAAACTGTATGAGACACTGAAACAATGAGATTCACCAAAGTATTTATTAGCTGTGTCAGGAAGTGTCACCAGTGAAAGATCAATATGAAGTACAACACAATAAATAATCCAGTAAGCATACACAGTCAATTAACCCAACAGTTATTTAGAATATTGCATTAGCAGCACATAGAAATGAATGAAACAGGGTTTTTTACATATTTTAAATGGTTTCTAAAACAACCAGGACCGTCATCAAAAAGCCTTAAGAGAATTTTAAAACCAAAACTGAAAGTTTCAATAAAATGTAAAGCATTATTATTATATCTTATTATATCTTATGTTCCATTGTTTTTAGTGACAGTCATTTTCTTACAAGACTCATTCTGTGAAATCCCCTCCCCACTGCCTTCATTGTCTTCCTGTGCCAGTCTGGCAAAACGGCATTGTGGTCCACTGGTTTACATCTAGAGCGCTAACTAGGCCACAGAAAGTCATACACTCACACGCCAGCGGTCACATGTGCTGTACATTCAATGTGCTTGTCACATATCCACGCAGACTAACGCACCGAGGTTACGGGAAAGTCTCGCATAAAGATTAAAGAGAGTTTATTGGTTGTAGTAAGCGCTATAGATACAGGGCGTCCTCTACAGCTCTGGAGGAACCTTCTCCACTCTGAGTAACAGCACTTGAGCAGCTCAGCTTTAAATGTATAACTCTGTTACAAACTAGATATATGGAGTAAAAACATGGACACCTACCAGGAAGGAAGGATATATGTAAAGACACAATGGAGTTATATTATTGGAAGTGTAGGATCCAGTGTTTTAGGAGCTTGACCCGTACAACTAAAGATATTTAAGCCTGTTCCTTTTTTTTTTTTGGTAATTTGTCCCACAATGTGTTTCCTGTAGATCTGACTGACAAAGGAAACTTGACTGATAGGTTAACCTTCACACAATTTCTTGCAGTCGTCAGCTCGCAGACAAGCAAACACAAACTGCCTGTTTCCCTGCTGACTGAAATTTTTGGTTAAATGAGCAAAAATTCTGCCTGTTGAGCGCAAACTGGACGAGTTTTGTGTATTGTTTGGTTTGTGTATTGTTCCTGGACAGATAAATGGAGTAAATGCTCCAGAACGGTGTTGTTTTTGGAATGAAGTCTAAATAGTGCTCGTTAGCTCGCTAATTCAACTAAGTTAAGTGAAATTGGACAATATAAAAGCAACAAATTAAAGCAATGAACGGGCCCTCGCAGTCCGGGCGCGTCGAGTTGTGCTACACCGTACACAATGTCATGTAAATCTGACCATGATTGCCATACAACTTCCTGTTTCCAGCAGGTGGCACTATGACTATACCTGAACAACAGCGGGACTCTTATCAAACATTTAGTGGACAGATTACACTGAAGTTACAACAACTTCCTGTTTCTTGGCGAAAGGTCGAAATTTGGCGCCACACCACGAACACGCCCTTCGAGGAAAAATCTAGATTTTGATAACTTTACATCGTGATGGTCTTTAGAGTACACTGAAGTAATTTTAAGCCGATCTGATCATACATATCGGTGGTGCTGGTGAACAGAATACGTCACTTTGTGCCGCGCCGCATGTTGTAGCCTCTATAAACGCGACTGTAGACGATCCAAACAGTCTTCATGCACACATACAAACACAACCACGTTCCCGTCCTCTGTCTCACACACAAACACACTGAACACACACAGATGAAAGACAGCTTCCCCACTGCTCTGAATATCTACACTGCAGGTGGGAAAATGAAAAGGAGTCTGTACAAAAATACCGTCTGCAAGACTAAATGAGAGGGAGCGG